GCTTCGTCTCTAGGGTGTATTTTTGTGATATAAAGATGTTCGAAAATATTTTAATTATCTGAATAAAAGTATATATGTTAAATCTTTTCTTTTACCGAGTTAAAACTGTATAATTAGGTGCGTTTGAAAAGATCTGTATGTAATCTTTTTCGCGTATCCCTTTCTATATATTACTAAATACTAATTAAGATTGGGGTAGTGAGATATCAAAATTAATAAATTTCTTTCATTTTTATAATTCAATTGTTGTAGCTTTATATTTGTACTGTATTTTTTTTTTTTAGTTTACTCTTTTTTTTTTCTTTCATTTATAATACTTCCAATGTGACATGATGATATTTTTCAAAAAAAAAAAAAAATGGAGGTTTTACAAAATATGGTCTCTCATATTTGGAACAATCTTACAAGTCAATTTGAAGTTTTTAAAATATTTTTAAATTTTGGTAAAAGTTTTACAAAATATGAATATCTTGGGATATTTAAAACCATCAAAAAGTTAATTTAAATAATTAGAAATACTTGCAGATGTGATAAGATTATACTTAGGTGAAAGTTTTACAAAATATGAATATCTTGTTTGGTTTTAGCCAAACTAAAGTTGGATTAAAATCATGTTTTTGTATAAACTAAGCTTCTTTTTTTTTTTTTTTTTTTTTTTTTTTTTTTTTTTGAAATACTCATGATTCACCCTTTGAAATGGTAATCATGATGCTATCACACTACAGGATAATTGAAATATAAACTAAGTTTTAATTATTGTTAAACTCAATTTGGACTTGGACTATAATTATGTTTTGGTATAAAATAAGTTATAAATTTTTAATTGTAGCAAACCTCAATACAACTAGAGTACATCATGTTTTAGTATAACATAACTCTAGTTAAACTCAATTAAAACTTAGTATAAATTAAAGTAAGTTTTAATTCTTGTTTGAACTAGTTAGTTATGTCTAAGACCCTGTCAGATGAATTTGGTCAAAAGAGTATGTATTGACAAAGATTAAATTATCATGTTCTGTTCACTTAGATCACCTATTCTAAGACAAATATGTAATATCTTTCATTGAGTGTAATGTATAGTAGTCGATCAAATTTAATAAATAAAATTAAATGAAATCAGAATTATAATTGAAATTGTGAAAATAATATTATAACTAAAATTAGAATATCGTATTAATTTGAATGATCTATGATCTTGTGGTCTTATCATCTCATCGAGCTGAAAACAAATCATATCATATCTGATATCTCTCATTGTTAAAACATAAAAAACAAGAAGAACTAAATCAAAAATCAGAAGGATATATTGAACAAGTATGATTATGACAGTGAACAACCATTTAGGATATTAATGTATCATGTGCAGGTAGCTTAGAATAAATAATATTATTGCCATAATTCTGCCTACATCAACATCAATATCAATATTAGGTGCAGTTTTTTGTCGAATTTAATCATACAATTAAACAATTATTAAAGTTGAGAAATGATGTTTTATTGGACTTGTAGATCAGATGCCTCCCAAAGCAAACCTCCATCGTCCAAATTAAAGTAGTCCCAAACTAAATTTTCCATAAATTAATTATGTTTACTCATAAAATACATAAACATAGGCCCCCTTCCTGGGTGTTTACGAGGTTGTGCCAACAATGCGAGTGGTGTTTTAGTGATGTTAAACGAGTTGTCTGCTTATTGGTACCTCCTCAATTAAAAATTTAAATTGATATTGTCTAAATTATATATTTACATGATATATTGGTTCTGTTTGGTAAAATAGTTAACATATAGGTAAATTTTGACTTATTTGACTTGGTTAAAAAATCAATATAAGTGTTTGATTAATTAGATTTTTTGTTATTTTAAAATGCTAAAATTAGAAAACCTGCTCAACTCAATTTTTTCAATTAGCTTTTTGAGAAAAGAAATTATATCAAACAGTTATCAGCTAACAGCTAATTTACCAAGTACTTTTCTACACTCAGCTAATGTTATCAACTATTTATACTCTCTAATTAACTCAATCAACTAACAGCTAACAGTCATTTACCAAATAGGGCCATTATGTTTTAATAAAAAGTATAAATTTAGTTTGTTCAACATCTATAATATTTAACACTAGTATTTTACCTGTGCGATGGCGAGGAACGATCCATTACATTGTATTCAAGACCCGTTGATGGCGGAGGCAGAAGCGGTTCAGGAAACTCTTGCATGGATCAAACAGCATGACTAGACGCATGTTAGATTGGAGTCAGACTGTCTTAATCTTTGTTCTAGTATTTTGAAGACTAGCTAGCATTGATTGTTCCTATGTAGGCTCTATTGCTCATGAGTGTAAACGCCTTATTTCTTCCATTGTTGGTTGTAATTAAGGTCCATTACATTCGTAAGGAAAGGAATCAAGCCGCTCATTCCCTTGTTAAAGCTAATGGGGCTTGGTTATCTCACTCCGAATGGATTAATAACCCGCTAGACTTTTTAATCGCGTTGATTTGATAATAATTTACTTTTCAAAAAATAAAATTTAGAGAAAATAAAAATATGTTAAGCCCATACCATACCCCGAGGCGGCCCAATTAGGAGGCAAAGTGCTGATAAAATTGGTTTTTTCATATAAGAGAAGATTTGAACTTCCGATCTCTTTTAAGAGACAAAAGTACACGATCACTCACGCCAACCAAGCTTGATTTTCATTTGAATATTTGATGTGTACTAAAACCAGAAATGGGTCCACATGACGAGTCACGTAGGACCAATTCAAGATGTGAAGTCTATTCCAACACAAAAGGACATAAAAGCTACATTTAAATGAGTAACGTAACTATATGTGCATAAAGTGGGATGCTTGGAAAATGCTAAGGAAAATTAACACCACACAATAACATGGATTGGCCTGTCTTCATGTTACAAGAGACGGAAGACACTCATAAACATTAGTTTTGTCCTTTCATGGTCACTTATTGAGAACATCAAACCCTACTACAACCAGAATTTGGGCCATTATTATGAATAGAACGCGTAGTTAAACCGTGTAGTTTATTTAAAATTATTAAAGCAAATGTTGATAGTAGCGTTTGAGGTAATTTAGGCACATTAATAGTTGTCAGTTGGGTACTTAAGTCGCGATACTAATATAAAGTGACAACTTATTTCCACTCATTAGCTTATCATTAGTAATACTTTGTGTTAAGTTTTACTAATTATTAATTATTTTAACTAATATATTAGACGCAACATAATGTAAAATAATGAAATTATTCATGAGTTATTATCACTTGAAGAAAAAACATAACATAAACCAACACTATACTTTTTACAAGTGTGATAGATTGGCACATCCTTCTATGACACTTTGTGTAGGTAATTTCGAGACACAACTCAACTGATTGACTAAGTTAAAGAAGTTAATAACTTTATTTTGTTGACATGTGCAAGGTGTACATGGTTCAATTCCTATCAAACGGAATGAATTGAATTGATCTTGTTATAAATATTTGTGTAGTCTATTTACTTTATATTTGTCAAGACTTTAAGGTAGATTTAAGTGGGGCATTCGAGTTTGGGTTGAATCATATGCTTTTTTCATGATCATGTGTGGGTAGGCTTATTTCATCTCCATGAGCTGCCCTTCCATTGCATACATATACCTAAAATACACACGGTAAAATTTTTCGTTGTTCTCAAAAGATTGAATCCTCAATTCTAAGGGTTCCCCAGCTTCGACCCGACAGAACATGGATGATGTAAATTATGGTAACTCAGCTGAACACTGAGGTTAGATCTTTACTTACTGCGCACAAGGAGCCCCGTCACTTTGAAATGTTGCTCCCACATTGTTGTTAATGAGACTCAATCCCGAATAATTGTTCTCAAATTTCACTAATGTGACCAACTGAACTGTCCAACCTAAACATAGTAAAATTTTTCCTCCCATTTGGTAGGTGGAAGGTGGAAGAATCTTATCCGACAGCTGCTTGTGGATATTGGCTATTTAAAACCCCTTCTTAAAAACCAAGTCATCTATACCTAATAAGTTCTCCATTCTTTCAGTCCATTATACACACCTTAAAGATAAGGGTGATACACATGCATGGCAATGAACTCTATTCCATTGGCTATCTACTTGACTAAAGAGATTAAATTATTTAGATGACAAATTCTGAGTTCATACGTTTATTAGTGACCAAGAGTGTTGTTAAGAATTGAATGTGTGACATTCAGATACGAAAATCAAGTTTTATCAATTCTATCATCTCTTTAGAGGTTATATTACAAAGATAGATGGAAATAAAAAACATATGTTAGGCGAAAAAAAAATTAAAAAAGTTTTACGCGTCCAGGGGCGCATGTAGTGCACGCGCCCTTGCCCTGAACGCGCATGAGAGCTGAGTAACTTTTCCTTTATTCTATGCATGCGGGCCCACACCTGGAGACAAAAAAGGCCCACACCTGGAAACAAAAATCCGCTATTCCTGCAACAACTCAAATTTTTTCTCTCCAATACACTCTCTTCCATCTAGGATCCAACCTCCTCAAAAACTGAATTAAAACCCCTATTGGGGATGTGTTAGGCTTCATTGAATCATAAGATGATATACATGACAATGAACTCTATTCCATTAGCTATCTACTTGACTAAAGAGATTTAACTACTTAGACGACCAACTTTGACTTCATATATTTATTAGTCACCTCCCAAGAATCAAACGCTCAATCATTGCTTTCATGGTTATATTAATCTTTCATTGCAGATTGATTATAGCTAATCAGTTCAAACCAAAGAATCTAATAAACATCTCTCATTGAGAGTGAATTTAGAACTTTATGATTATCCAACCAACTTGATTGATATTGCTCCAAACAGTTACTTATGCTTCAATGATTTCACATTTTACCTACTGAACACCGGAAGTCACGTCACCAACAAAATGTTAAAATTGTAACAGAGCAAAAGAGCTACCACATGGGCCCAAATTAAATGAACCCAGTCAACAACCTCCTGCAAGTTGCAAATGCACATACTGAACATTATTGATGAACACTTGAACAGAGCAATTGCAGAGTTTGGAACAGAACAAGAAAAAGCAACAACAAACACTCATTCATATTCATCTTAACGTTGGAGTCTTGAATTCCAGCATTATCCTACCTAATTGCAACCTTAGCAACAACAACAACAACAACATAATAATAATAATAATCATCATAATCATAATAAGAATAGAAGTACAAATCTTGAAGTGAAGCAAAAGGGGGAAGTTGTTGATTAAGCAGGAGTTGAATGTTCAGTGGGAGATGTCCAGAGGATATCCTTAAGAGCAGGCTTTAGCTCTTTGCTGCAAAACTGGTTGTATTCCAGCGTGTCGCCGCTGGCTTTCTTCACCTCCACGACTAGAAACGAAGGATTCATCGTGAAAATGTCTGCTGAGATTCCCAGTTTCCCTTTTCTTCCGCTCTCTTGTCCCTGTAATCTCACACTGGAATCGCTCTTCTTCACGCTGAAATTACTGGTTTTTGCCAACTCTTCTAGCTTCGAGATCACACTGCTTGCTGGCTTTGTAGTCGCGAATCTCATCTCTTCTTTCTCCGTCTTCTTCTTCTCCTCGAACAGGGGGCTTAGATCGAAGCCCTGGGACAGAGATATGATGTGGAAGGCGTTCAGCGTCTCCACTTCCTTGGCCTTGTCGCCGGAAAATTCATCGTGGTCTTCGTTTTTCCTCAGGGATCTTGGGACGGATTTCTTGAACCAGGACGAAGACATGATCTTGGCAATGGTGATTCTTGAATTCGGGTTGGGGTCTAGCATTTTGGTGATTAGTTTTCTCGCTTCGGATGAAAGCCATGGAGGGCATTTGAAATCGCCTCTGTAAATCTTCCGGTACATGGCGACAATGTTGTCGTCTTGGAAGGGTAAAAAACCGGCTAAGAGGACGTAGAGAATGACCCCGCAGGACCATATATCCACCTTGGCGCCGTCGTATCCCTTCTTTGCAATCACCTCCGGGGCGACGTACGCCGGCGTGCCGCAGGTGGTGTGGAGCATGCCGTCTTGTCGGAGGTGGTCGGAGAAAGCGCTGAGGCCGAAATCCGTGACCTTCAAGTAGCCATCCTCGTCCAGGAGCAAATTCTCCGGCTTCAAGTCGCGGTGGTAGACCCCTCGGCTGTGGCAGAAATCTATGGCGGAAATGAGCTGCTGGAAGTAATTCCTCGCCAATTCCTCGCGTATACGGCCTTTGGAGATCTTGGCGAAGAGCTCGCCGCCGCGGACGAGCTCCATGGCGAAGTAGATCTTCGTTTTGCTCGCCAAAACCTCGTGAAGCTCAACAATATTAGGGTGCTTCACCATCTTCATCACCGAGATCTCCCGCTTTATCTGGTCCATCATCCCCACTTTTATCACCTTCTCCTTCCCCACCACCTTCATCGCCACGCATTTCCCGGAATGCAGGTTCCGCGCGTGGTACACCTTCGCGAACGTCCCGTGCCCTAGCATCCTCCCCAGCTCGTATTTCCCGTGCAGAACGCCGCATTTCTCCTCCGCCGCCGTCGCCATTCTCCAATCACAAACAATAATATTTCTATTCCGATACTCCCTAAACCTAATTTCACTGCTTAACTTTCAGAAATAAGTTTACTTTTAGGTGAAAAATAGAAAGGATTATAGATTAAGGTATGAAGATCAGATCGGAACTGAAGACGGGAATGGATCACCCGTCTTCGACGTGTTTCCGGTGACAAGTTCTGCCGCCGGAGTGCGGTGGTTTGTGGCCTCCGCCGCCAACTAGAAGGGGGTTAGAAAGCGGCGATCTTCTCATCTCTCTGCATTCCCTGGCCGCCGGCGCAAACTTCTCCAAACAACACTCAGAAAAGGAAAAAATTATCAAAAAATTTCTTTCTTTCTTTTCTCTCAGGCTACAAGGCCAGGGGATAAATTTATAGCCGGTTCAAGGGTAAAATTGTCTTTGAAATACAAGATTACTCGTCGCTGTCCGACGGTCAGATTCCCTTTGGTCGTGCTACGTGGCGTGATCGTAATGGGACTTCTGGAATAATGAGGATCATATAATCAATTATGGGCTGACGCGTGGCCCAGTGGGTCCGTTCAGCTCCGTTTGATTGATGATTGAGGTGGATTGTCTATAATGCCGTTTTCTATTGGCTGCATAATTACTAATTTCTCCCCCGCGCGACATTCCGTATCTGGTATATTCTTGCTGCCTGTAACCGATAAATAAATAAATTAATATTTGTATTTTTGTGATTTATATCATACAATTATTTGTTGGAAATGTAACTGAAATATAATTGACCTCTTTACATGAAAAAGGAAAAAGTATCATACCTCTTGATATGAGTAAAAAAATGCAATTAAATTTAAATATTACCTATTTAAGATGCTAGCATGTGGTCTTTTAATACTTCCATGTTTGGGAACAATGATTTAAATATGGAAATTATATATATTATATATATTGTTCCTAAAAAGTTGAATCTCCCAGGGTTTCCTCACTTTTATCGCTAGTGAACACAATCTCAGGTCAATATTTTCAAACTTTACCTCCGTGACCAACTGAACTGTAAATAAAAAATAAAATAAAAATTATGCATGTCAGATATAATTATTAAAAATTACAATAAAAATAATAAAAATTGTCTAATATATAGAATGGGTGCATATTGCCCGAGAAGACACACGGTTAGATATCATTATGTTTGTGCTTGGGTTGCTCCCTCCTTATTCAACAAGAGAATTACAATTGTATATATAATATACAAGTCAAGATCGATTTGGACTTATGAAACAAAGGAGATCATTGGCTAATTTTGTGCGAGATGTTTTTAGATAGATGAGTATATGAGGTCTAAAGCTAGACCTTGCGAATACAGTCAAGACTTACTTTAATTAGAGTTTCAGTTTGGACCTATAACATTAAAAGTAAATAAAAGAAATTCATATTTGGACCTTTGAATCTCAAAGGTTGAAACTGAATTTCACATTTGTAAATAAATAGCCAAGACATCTTCACTATAATTTCAAATAGCCACGATTGTCCAACATAGGAGATATCTAGTGGCAATGAACCCAAAAAAAAATAATAATAAAAATAAAAAAAATGAAAATTGCACTATGTTTTAGCTATATCTATGGTAACGTATTGAGTATGTAACATTTAGACTCAATTACATTTGTTATTGCTTAAAGGATTTTGATAAAAAATTTTTTTTTTTCTTTTCCTTTTTGTACATTGAAGGTTCATTTATGTTGTTTGTTCTTCATAAAAGACTTATTTGACTATTTTCCTCTATAAAATGAAAATTTTGTAATTATTTAGCTATAATAATATATAGTTCTTCTTCTTCTTCTTTTTTATTTTAAAGTATATTTTTTGTTCAAATTTAAATATTTTTAAAATTTAAAAATATAAAATAAATATTATTTTTCAACCTAACTAAGTAATTTTTATTTAAAAAAAAAACAATCTATTAGAATTTTTAACATATTTTCTATTTTAAAGAATGAACACGAGTATTTGTTCACTATATATCACCCCTATTTACTTTTCCCGGCCCACAACATTAACGTATCTACTCCACTGTTATTCAATATCATTATCGTTAAAACTCTATATAAATTTTAAATATTTTAAAAATTACACCATCTATTGGTGAGAAATATAAGTTTTTAAAATATTTTTTTAAAAAAATACATAGTTGATAACTAAACATTGAACAAATTAAAATAAAAAAAAATATATATAAAATATAAAATATTATCAAGAGATAAAGAGATAAATAAATTTAACAATCCCATCTTTTTGTTACTTTATTTTTATTTATATTTACTTTTCCAATACACAACCTTAAACCTTATCTCTATGAATGCATGTCGATCAATTATTATTATTATCTTTTTGACATTATCCACTTCACTTCAAACTACTACAAACCATCGGTCTTTGATCACAATTCCTACCGCATTTTTTCATGTGATTCGATCTATAGCCTCACTGTTCTTATGTATATAAAAAATCATTGGCCCCTTTCGAGAGATAACTTATTCTAGTAATTAACCCTTCAATTCAATCAAACTCTTGCGCAATCATTTTCCTTATTCATTCATTTTTTTGCATGTGATTTAAGATCAGAATTTTATCAGAAATCTGTCTTTTCTGTCTTTTGTGACACCCTTCAAATCTTCAATGACGCCTAGAATTTTCAATAAATAACTTTTTTTTTTTATAAATACTATCTTAATTAATAAAAATAAGTGGCCTGGGCAATCAAAATAATGAGTTAATCATTTCAATAAGAGAATTAATTTTGTTAATAATTAAACTACGGAGTACTAATTTTTACATTAACTTTTAAAATTTTTATGTAACATTATATATATTTTTGACTTCCTTAATAAGTATGAATTCTCTGTGAACAAGGTATGTATGTGATCAATTACCTTCCACTATTTGGTGAGGTTGCTTAGAAAGGACCTAAGTGGTTCTTTCAGCTTTAGACAAGATGACTTGAACTATATGTGTACTTAATGTTTTATCAGTTTGGATAATTTCGTCTTCTAAAATCAACCAAAAAAATAAAATTATATTTAAAGTATACCTATGTAATAAGTTACAAAATTTTTTGTATTGTTGTAGTCTTGTATTTGAATTTATATCATACATAAAAATATGTAAATTTTGTTTAATAATAAAACAAAAAGTTGCATCAAGTATGAAATTATATATATCTTGCTACAAGTTTATATTAATAAGATATAGGAGTGTAAATATCATATGCACATGCAAATATAGCGCCGCAGATTTCCAGACATTTCTTTTTTAAAAGTAATGAAAAGTCATAAATTATAATTTGTGGTGCAGAAAAGATGCAGAAAGCACGGTGCAACGGTCAATTAAAGGCGGCGCACGGCCGCACGCCGGCCTCAGTTTTGGCGTCGGAGAAGACATAAGTTTCGTCACCTTTAGCAAGTCCTATTTGTTAACTCCGATCCGATCCAACTTTGATCATTCCGGTCCATTGTATTTCAGAATTAAATTTATAAATAAATTTTATACCATGGTTTTGTTTTTATTTGAGTTTTGAATAAATGGTATTTAATGAACTTTGATAGGGCAAATTAGAATGAATGAGGGGCTTATATTACCTTATGTAATAAGATAAGGAACAAGATCTTCTTATAGTTTAATGAGTACAAGATGATTGAGAGTATAGTCAACTAAAGTGGTTAGACTAAATTGACTAATTTACAATGTCAAGTTAATATTGGTATGTTCAAAAAGTAAAATATCTTCTCAACTATAAAAGAGAGGTTCTGATTAGACTAAAGTCTTTAACTAATGTCATGATAACTCGTAGGAAACTCTTGGTAGATGGAGGTGGTCAATTGGGTAAACAACATGAAATACATGCCAGTCTACCACATGGCTATCAAGGTCTACTTTGACGTTGTGGTAAGTGCAGTGTTGCAAAAATCGGGCCTAGGCGGTCGGCCACCTAGGCGCCCGTCTAGGCGTTCTAGGCGCCCGCCTAGGTGCTCTAGGCGCCCTAGGCGGTCCCCAGGCGCCTAGCGATTTTTTCAACCTTGGGTAAGAGTAAGTAGGTAATTAGCTTAATTAGTATGCCTTGTTTAGTGTAAGTGGACCTAGCTAGTTGCAGTCCTCTCGACTACATGTGATCGATTTAATCTTCTGAAATGCAATTAGTTAACCTTATTATTTGGGTTATTGTTTCCATTGATAAGGCTTTAACCCCATCAAATCTCTTAAATTATAGTAATAATAATTCAATTTGTAAACCTAACTATTTCAGGATTCAATAGTTCACATCACCTTCACAAACACACACATCTATTATACATGACAACTGTATATAGGGAATAAATGTCAATTGTATTTATTACTGATGTATGTATTTCAATTTATTATGTTCACAATAGCATTCCATTATGATTCTCAAAATAAATTATTTTTAATTTTATAATTAAGAATCTAAAAATAAAATTGATTTTGAGTGTGTGATTTTTACTTATAAAAGTCCAATTTTCTTCTAATTAAACAGGAGTAATATTTATATGTTATAATATTTATTATTAATCCTCTAAAAAAAATGTATTTTTGTTGAAAACACATTCCATAGGTACATTAAAATTTGATATATAAACATAAATGTTTGGAAGTTGGGACTCGACACGTCAAAATCGTCGGTCGTATTGGTTTGTTTTAATTTTGTTGTCAGAAATATTCAACTAACATACCGGCACTCGGCAGGTGTGAGGTGCCCCTGCGGACCAAAGGACCATTCCATGGAACAACCTACACTAGATAGACCTCAAAGAAATAAAGTTAAAGGGCAAATTATTGTGTGGATCATGGTCCACATAGCTGTGTGAATTATGAGTGCAATATACATTTTTAATATATTAAAAGTGTATTATTTGTATACTGAAGGTATATTATTTGTTACGGAGTAATAAATAAAAAATTATGTACGTTACCTATACAAATAATGTACTTTTTATTTATGGTTCACACACATGGGTGGACCATGGCCCATGGAATAACGATTGCAAAATAAGACCCGAGAGGGGTAATAAAATAGATAGCGCGAACTTTCGTATCAAAATATTACGAATTCGATTTTGGTAAACATTTTTTTTAATGATTTTTAAGATATTAAACATGAGTAAAGTTTACCTAGTGCATGCACTATGAAAAAGTCACTGTGATCGAGTTTCTTTTGTCATTTAAAAAAAATTAAGATTATATTTAAAGTTAATCTTATATAAGATCATCTTAGCTTATATAAGATACATAATATTTTAAAGCGAATATGTAATATTTAATGTCTCACTATTACAAAATAAATATAAAATTATAAATACATACTCACGTTGG